GTCTGACAGGGCATCATACAGTATGGTGAGGGGCGTAACATTTCCGTCACACGCTTGAGGTATTCGGCCAATCACAACGCAATGGATAGCTGGCCAATCACAGCACACCTCGCCTTTTCAGACCGATGAGCTTTGTAAAATTCGACGCGTTTCAGAAAGGCGGGGCATAGAGGAGAAACAATAATGTACAGTATGTGGAAAATAATGTGTTTTTTTAACCTTAAACCATATTTCACAAATAACACCAAAAAAGGGGGTAAAACAAAAAAAACGAAAATTATAAATTAATTATAATAATAGTAATCAGCATTAATAGTCGTACAAAATTATACTCTTTTAATGGTTTATTATTTACAAAGATGTACTAATGTCAAAAATGAGATTTAAGTAAATGTAACTGCGCTCTTGTAAGCAATGGGTGACGTCACCGGGCCGCTGTGCTTGTGGGGATTGTAGTTCATTCAAAATTCCCAACGTTCTGCCAACGTTGCTGTGACGTTTGTGTAACGTGATACGTGAGCTGGCTGGGGACAGCTTGATAACCATTTCCGCATATTTCTCGCACATATCGCAGTGTTTATTAAGAGATGCGTGTTAAAGGATTTAATTTCGCATAAAGTGCTGTTTGTAAGTGAAGAAATACACCCACATAAATGGACGCAAACAGTGTCAGTCGCGTGAACTGGGCCATAAACCGCCGGGCGGAGGGTTTAGTAAGTAAACACATGGCAGACATGGCACAGAGACGCTCAGCGGTGTCTGAAGAGGACTCTCTAATGCCAGGAGACCTGAGCAGAAGCGCAGAAGACATCCCGGGGCGGGCCGAGGTGAATTTCAGCGCGGATTCACAGTCCTTCAATCCTGCAGGAGTGGCGAGAAAGTTGATGCGCGAGGACGCGTCTTCATCATCAGGTAACGTTACTGTAAAGTGAAAAGATTAAAAATGATCACGTTTGCCTTGAAACGGACTTATACATACCTTCCCTTCTATCATTATGACACTTTGTCTGGTTAAAAAAATGTGTTTCTGAATTGAGACTTAAGTTTTATGATAAAGTTGGTATTAGTTGATAGTTAGTTGATTAGGTATCATTTTATTAAACATACAAATAAAAAATCATAGTTTTTTTAAACGTGTTGATGTGCTAAACATTTCAGGTCTGATAATATAAATGCACCTACTTTTAAAAAAATCTATATTAATAAAACCCTTTGGCAATTATCAGCAATGTTATTTAGGAAACAAGCCACCACCATCATCATTATTATTATTGGCAACATTGTTTTCCACAAATGAAACTGATGCAGCAGATTTGATATCAGTGCTGAATTTTAAAAGGAATAATTCACCCTAAAATGAAAATTTGCTAAGTACTCACAGTAGAGTTTGTTTCTTTATTGGAACAGATTTGGAGAAATGTAACATTACATCACTTGCTCACAAATGGGTCTGCAGTGAATGGGTGCCGTCAGAATGAGAGTTCATCCAGCTGATAAAAACATCACAACAAACTTATATGTTATGTATGGCCTGAGGCGGAGTAAATTTTCAGCAATTTTTCATTTTTGGGTGAACTATTCCTTTAGTCTTCTGTAAGTCTTCTTTAAATTTTATATTTTTTACAACTACAGAGGCAGCAGCCCATAGACAAATCATATCGCTCCTTATTGAGATTAAGGAGGAGCAACAGAGGCAGTGGGAAGTTCTGAAAGACCTGCAGGCCAGGATTCATGGACAGGTGTGTGAGGAGGAAGACGAGCCGCTTGACATAGATCTGCCACTGCGAACAATGGAACAGCTCGATGAAACGGAGCAGCATTTAGAGGATGCTGAAGCTCAGAAGAGAATGGTAAAAAAGTATTACTGTGAATCTACTCTACAATCTACAATTACTGCAGTGCATGTAATAATAGGTTAAGTTACTTTGTAAACCTCAATCAGGACAGGAAGTTTACATTTTATGGAGGTAGTTGTTTATCTGAGTCCAAAATAATAGTTCAGAACAGTTTAGAACAATATTGTTTGCTTGTGTTTCTAGTTTTTTACTGCTTTCTAAAAACATTTTCTGGTAACGCTGTTCCCTTCTTTACCTGTACTGAATATTTCTTCATATTTTGATTTTTATTTCATAGGTGTCACACCTCTCACGGATGGGCGGAGCTACGGTAGATGATGCGGTCCGGCGTCTTATGCATGCTGTTCTCTCTTTCAGTGTGGGCTCAGAGCTCAACTGGGTTGGCAGAGGACAGAAAAGGAGCTTCAGAAACACCAGACTGCAGGGTGTTTTATTTCGTAAGCAGTCATTAAAATATGTTTCAGTGCAATTGCATCTTTAGGTTTATCACTGACTTTAGTGAAATGAAGTGAAGTAAGTGATGTGTAGCCAAGTATGTGAAGTGTAGTGAACACACACACACACACCGTGAACACACACCCGGAGCAGTGGGTAGCCATTTTTGCTGCGGCGCCCAGGGAGCAGTTGGGGGTTTGGTGCCTTGCTCAAGGGTCTCACTTCAGGCCACTATCACTTTAAAGGACAATATTTTTTGGATCCTCATGTGAAAGATTGTTTTAACTCTGTTCTCTGCAGGTGCCTTGAAGAGGACACCTGTAGGAAAGGAGGCCACACACCATCAGTTTGCTGATGTAGTGAAGAAATGGTTGCGGTTTGCCCCTTTCCGACAAAGAGGAAGTGGACGAAGACCGCATTGGAAACCTGTTGAGTTCATCTGTCCCAAATATGACAGTACTGTGGAAGATCATAACCAGCTTAACCATAACCAGCTGGATTCTGGTGAGATTCAGGTGACAATATAATTACACTAACTGTTGTATCCAAAGACAAGTAAAGTGAAATCATTGAATGAAGAGAGTGTGAAGGATTGGCTTTCAATTTGTTTTTGTTTTTTCCATATTACATTCTTTCTACTATAATATTTGCTTTGCTTTCTTTAAGTTAAAATATACTGTTGTTATGGGAATAATGTGCAGATTTTCAAATTACAGCATTAATCTTTAAAAAAGTAATGGGCAAATGTAAATAAATCTGTTATAATGATTATTTTGCCCCTGCAATTTTATTTTAATTATGTTGTAATATGTTTTGTTTTAAACGCTGATGGCAATGTATTTAAATTTTTACATTTTGCAAGCTGGAAATTGTTAAGAATGTTTTGTGTATTTTAATGCCATTATGTTTGACAATAAATGGACATCAGACTTTCAATTTCAAACATTAAAGAGTTAATAAGTGTTACAACACAGAAAATTTTGAGATTGCTGTAGAAGAAAATGACATTTCTTAAATGTAAATTAATGACTTGGCTCAATAACGTAGTTAAATGCACTTACTCGGTGGTATCTTTGGCAATGTGAACAGTTTTCCAACAGTTTTCTAAGAACTCTTGCTTCCTGACATACTGTATAAAAACACATTAAAAACAAACAATTTATCCATTAACTTTTTCTGTGGTGGACTTTTTCATTTGTGTTATTTGAGTGTTTTATGTTTATAGACATATACGTAGTATATATAGTTTCCATTTTTGTGACACATTTACTTGAAATTTACTTCATGTTACAAAAGTACAAGATGATTTAACAAAATCTTTGGAATCCATGTCCATGTTCTCCATGGAAATATATAAATGCAAAAATAAATAGGATATATATATACTCACTATAGGGTTTAATTTGTTAACCACCAATGTCCAAGAGTGCATATACATGCACCATGGGAGTTTGTCATAGCCTATTTGTAATTTTTAGTGTAATTTCCATCATATCTCAGGCCTATAACACCTTTTGCATAATTTGACAAAATTACATCTTGATTAGCAATGACAGTTAACCGAATATTTGTAATATGATAAAAACAATGTTATTTTAATAGTTTTTGCTTTGGTTTCTTTGCTTTAATAAATCATTCGAGGTATTGAAATATTGAAACTTAGAGATATTTAGCCCACCAGGTCGTTTCCTTAATTGTTTCGATTTGTGCAGCTTCGGTCCTCAGTTTTCCACTGTCTTTCCGGTTCTTTCATGTTCCTCTCTGAGTAACATCAATGGTTGGTGGGTATAACAAAGGCTTTTCCCTTCCAGAGACGTTCCCAGCTGGAACACGTGACGTGAACATGACACGTGCACATCAACTTTTGTTCTCCTCCTGGAGTTTGTTTTTGCCGGGAGAGGTCGCATGCTTTAACACAGCTATGAGTCTTTCATGCGAAGTACAAGGAAACAACCTCGACTCGGTCATGTAGGAACATCTAAAACTGTTAACAGCAACTGAGGCTTTGGAGAAACATCATCCAGCTCTTATAAATGCTTAACTGCGCTTTTGCTAGCGGGTGTTTTGGTTTCGACCCGTCGAGGTGAGTCCCACGCACTGTTTATTAGCGTAAGTCTGCTGCGAGTGTTTTGTTTTTCGATCTCAGCTTAGTCTTGAGTACATTTAAAGCGTGTGTGTTAGGCTACTTGTTAAAATAAAAGTTCTTAAATTGGTGGTTACAACAGCTTGGAGCATATATTATAAGTTTTTGTTTATTTTAGTAGTTATATTTTATTAACACTTAATTACCTGTGATAGTAATGTTTTAAATATGTTGGGTTAACACTGGTAAGGATAGTTTGATACTTCTGTTTAGTAGCTATCACTTGCAATTTGTGGACATGAATCAAAACAGTTGTTGTTGCCAGCAGGTAATTGTATTATACAGGTTACTGTGGTTAAAAATTTGCTATTGGAAACATAAATGTAACGTGATATGTTGTTGAATGTCATCATTGTTGTAAAGTTTTAAGAATGGTCTCTTGGAAAGTCCAATTTGTCAAGATCTGGAAAAAAAACTGAGCTCCGTGAACACACACCCGGAGCAGTGGGTAGCCATTTTTGCTGCGGCGCCCAGGGAGCAGTTGGGGGTTTGGTGCCTTGCTCAAGGGTCTCACTTCAGGCCACTATCACTTTAAAGGACAATATTTTTTGGATCCTCATGTGAAAGATTGTTTTAACTCTGTTCTCTGCAGGTGCCTTGAAGAGGACACCTGTAGGAAAGGAGGCCACACACCATCAGTTTGCTGATGTAGTGAAGAAATGGTTGCGGTTTGCCCCTTTCCGACAAAGAGGAAGTGGACGAAGACCGCATTGGAAACCTGTTGAGTTCATCTGTCCCAAATATGACAGTACTGTGGAAGATCATAACCAGCTTAACCATAACCAGCTGGATTCTGGTGAGATTCAGGTGACAATATAATTACACTAACTGTTGTATCCAAAGACAAGTAAAGTGAAATCATTGAATGAAGAGAGTGTGAAGGATTGGCTTTCAATTTGTTTTTGTTTTTTCCATATTACATTCTTTCTACTATAATATTTGCTTTGCTTTCTTTAAGTTAAAATATACTGTTGTTATGGGAATAATGTGCAGATTTTCAAATTACAGCATTAATCTTTAAAAAAGTAATGGGCAAATGTAAATAAATCTGTTATAATGATTATTTTGCCCCTGCAATTTTATTTTAATTATGTTGTAATATGTTTTGTTTTAAACGCTGATGGCAATGTATTTAAATTTTTACATTTTGCAAGCTGGAAATTGTTAAGAATGTTTTGTGTATTTTAATGCCATTATGTTTGACAATAAATGGACATCAGACTTTCAATTTCAAACATTAAAGAGTTAATAAGTGTTACAACACAGAAAATTTTGAGATTGCTGTAGAAGAAAATGACATTTCTTAAATGTAAATTAATGACTTGGCTCAATAACGTAGTTAAATGCACTTACTCGGTGGTATCTTTGGCAATGTGAACAGTTTTCCAACAGTTTTCTAAGAACTCTTGCTTCCTGACATACTGTATAAAAACACATTAAAAACAAACAATTTATCCATTAACTTTTTCTGTGGTGGACTTTTTCATTTGTGTTATTTGAGTGTTTTATGTTTATAGACATATACGTAGTATATATAGTTTCCATTTTTGTGACACATTTACTTGAAATTTACTTCATGTTACAAAAGTACAAGATGATTTAACAAAATCTTTGGAATCCATGTCCATGTTCTCCATGGAAATATATAAATGCAAAAATAAATAGGATATATATATACTCACTATAGGGTTTAATTTGTTAACCACCAATGTCCAAGAGTGCATATACATGCACCATGGGAGTTTGTCATAGCCTATTTGTAATTTTTAGTGTAATTTCCATCATATCTCAGACCTATAACACCTTTTGCATAATTTGACAAAATTACATCTTGATTAGCAATGACAGTTAACCGAATATTTGTAATATGATAAAAACAAGTGTTATTTTAATAGTTTTTGCTTTGGTTTCTTTGCTTTAATAAATCATTCGAGGGATTGAAATATTGAAACTTAGAGATATTTAGCCCACCAGGTCGTTTCCTTAATTGTTTCGATTTGTGAAGCTTCGGTCCTCAGTTTTCTACTGTCTTTCCGGTTCTTTCATTTTCCTCTGGAAATATATAAATGCAAAAATAAATAGGATATATATATACTCACTATAGGGTTTAATTTGTTAACCACCAATGTCCAAGAGTGCATATACATGCACCATGGGAGTTTGTCATAGCCTATTTGTAATTTTTAGTGTAAGTAATTTCCAATCTCAGGCCTATAACACCTTTTGCATAATTTGACAAAATTACATCTTGATTAGCAATGACAGTTAACCGAATATTTGTAATATGATAAAAACAATGTTATTTTAATAGTTTTTGCTTTGGTTTCTTTGCTTTAATAAATCATTCGAGGTATTGAAATATTGAAACTTAGAGATATTTAGCCCACCAGGTCGTTTCCTTAATTGTTTCGATTTGTGCAGCTTCGGTCCTCAGTTTTCCACTGTCTTTCCGGTTCTTTCATGTTCCTCTCTGAGTAACATCAATGGTTGGTGGGTATAACAAAGGCTTTTCCCTTCCAGAGACGTTCCCAGCTGGAACACGTGACGTGAACATGACACGTGCACATCAACTTTTGTTCTCCTCCTGGAGTTTGTTTTTGCCGGGAGAGGTCGCATGCTTTAACACAGCTATGAGTCTTTCATGCGAAGTACAAGGAAACAACCTCGACTCGGTCATGTAGGAACATCTAAAACTGTTAACAGCAACTGAGGCTTTGGAGAAACATCATCCAGCTCTTATAAATGCTTAACTGCGCTTTTGCTAGCGGGTGTTTTGGTTTCGACCCGTCGAGGTGAGTCCCACGCACTGTTTATTAGCGTAAGTCTGCTGCGAGTGTTTTGTTTTTCGATCTCAGCTTAGTCTTGAGTACATTTAAAGCGTGTGTGTTAGGCTACTTGTTAAAATAAAAGTTCTTAAATTGGTGGTTACAACAGCTTGGAGCATATATTATAAGTTTTTGTTTATTTTAGTAGTTATATTTTATTAACACTTAATTACCTGTGATAGTAATGTTTTAAATATGTTGGGTTAACACTGGTAAGGATAGTTTGATACTTCTGTTTAGTAGCTATCACTTGCAATTTGTGGACATGAATCAAAACAGTTGTTGTTGCCAGCAGGTAATTGTATTATACAGGTTACTGTGGTTAAAAATTTGCTATTGGAAACATAAATGTAACGTGATATGTTGTTGAATGTCATCATTGTTGTAAAGTTTTAAGAATGGTCTCTTGGAAAGTCCAATTTGTCAAGATCTGGAAAAAAAACTGAGCTATATGTCTAGACTTTATCGGTACCAAAATTCTGTCATGAGCATAAGTCAGCTTAGGGTTTGAGACACATTCATATATTTCTTATGTTATGTGAATGGTATAGATGGTAATTATGTACCCAAGAAAAAAAAAACTGTAGTACAGCTGAACTGTGTGTTTTTAGAATAATCTGCATTTTATTTGAAAGTTTTGATGCAAAATTTCATGTGAAAGATTATATCATTTGTGACCCTGGACCACAAAATCAGTCATAAGGGTCAATTTTTTTGAAATTGAGATTTAGACATCATCTGAAAGCTGAATAAATAAGCTTTCCATTGATGTATGTTTTGTTAGGACAATATTTGGCCGATATACAACTATTTAAAAATCTGGAATCTGAGGGTGCAAGTATTTTTGGCTATTGCTACAAACGTGCTACTTATGACTGGGTTTGTGGTCCAGGGTCACATATTTGCTTTGGAAAACTGCATGCACTTCCTCCTATATGCTCCTTTGTGAACTCTAAAAAAGAGGGAAGTAAACTTAGTTTAGGGGTCAAGCTAGTAGCTTCAGTGTACTGATCTCATAACCAGTATACAATGATTTCAAGACGTTTTTTGAGGAGTTAATTACATCAGAACAGGTTGTAATATGTTTGCCAAATTTTGGCATCCCCTAAAACAAGTGTGTGTGTGTGTGTGTGTGTCCGGTTTTCCTGTGAGGACCAAATGTCTCTGGACAGTAAAACGTCAAATCAACATTTGGAGGAGCAGTTAACAGCCCCTATGAGGAAAATAGCTTAAAGATGTAATGAAAATGTAAAAAAGTTGATGTGATTTTTTGTGGGATAGAAAAATCTATACGCCTGTATAAAAACAATAGAAGTCAATGGAAAGTCCCTATGATATAGTGTGTGTGCTGAATTATCCACCACTTGTGCTTTATGCATCAGTTCTTTTATTGCTGTCAGACAAATTGATTGCATTCATTACTAAGGTTTTTTTTTTTTTTCAGCAATGGCTCTGAGGGCTGTTAAGAGGATTAGTCTCAGGTAACAACCCTCTACATTGCGAGTAAATCACTCGCATATGCGACTAAATCTTACTCTGGGCGACTAAATAATGTCTAACATTAGCCATTGGCTAATAAATTCTTAGATTTTACACGCCAGTATGTGTGTGAG